TGTTGAACTATACATATAAAAAGCATGTATTGTATAAAATGTTGATTGTGGATTTTAGTATACTTATGTAATTTATTAATCATGCACAAAAAATTAATGTACAAAATATAAATGTATGAAAATTTATTTTCAATAATGATACTAGACTAATTAATATGTAGTTGATGAATGATATTAAGGCGAGTATTAATAGCTTTAAGTGCTTATAATTTAATACAGGTATTATTAAAAATATTTTTTTTTAATTTAATGTACCATATTTTTAAATAATTCTCTTTTAAAACAGTAAATTGACGTTTTGTCATAAAAAAAATGTCTTCATATTTTTTCAATCAAAAAATGTTCATAGTATATTTACTCATTTATCAATACAAATAAATTACATGAAATTCTGTACGAAAATGTACAATTAAACTTTTAAAATTGCAAAATTTATTGCAAAATATACATAGATATATAAATATATTAAGTTTTACAACAAATATTTGACTATATTTATATATAATAATAAAAGAGTTTTACTCAGCAAATAAAAATATAGTATAATGTAACATCTTCATTAATAATAATAAAGTAGATAATTCAAAATTTATTTAGTTTTTTATCTAACGTCTCATACATTAAAACTCGCATGTTAAAATGTGCATGAAAATTTTTTAATTTGTTAGCATTTATATATTTAATAATTTACAGTTAATTGACAATTTATTCAATTTAGTTATATAAACATATATCTTAATATATTTTATTTACGATTATTTCAGACGGATGTCAATTGCATTAATCGACCACGACTCAAACAGTTTATTTTGCATATGCGTGGTATAATCATAACTGCAACTATTGTTTTGATCATTATGTTTTTACTTTCATCAAAAGCTGGCTATTAACTTATCATCAACTGTTTTATTATAAAAAAGATATTTCATTTTAATATCAGTGAATAATGCATTTAAAAAGGTTATGAAATTATTGTTTGATTACTGGTTTATTAGTCAGTTACTGTAAGTATTTATTGAATACACTAATTATCGTTACTTTTTTACTTATTTTAACCTTTTAATCTTTTAACTTATTAACCTATTAATATTCACAGAATGGTTTTTCTAGAGCCGAGTTCGAATTATTACTACGTAATGAATTTGAACCGAAAAAATTCAAAAATCACTGTTTTCTATGTTTTCGAAGGTGCTCTTTCCAACAGTGTTGGTGAAAAGTCTCGCCAAAAAAGTTTTGCTACCGAAAAATCAAAAATAAGGTAAAAAAAGTTTAATTGTTCAATTAATTTTATTTTTCAAATCAACTTTTCGATATCTTAACTTTTTTTTATATGCCTGAAACGTATGTAGATCGTGGTCTCGACATCTAAAATAAATAATAGTAATTTCGCCTGTACGTGAAAAAATTTTATTTGAACAAAATGGCAATCGAGATAAAAATTTTTTTTGTGGAAAATTTATGAATTTTTTTCGTGAAAACTATTAAACTACGACGTTGGAAGTTAGCATTAATATAACATAACAACTTAATAAAACATAAAATCTTCCATGTTAAAATCAAAGAAAAAGGTTTATGCACCGGAGTACTTTTCTTTAAACAATATATATTTACAAAATTGACTTTCGTATACTAAGCTTTTTATATAATTTTTTTTTAATAAATACCTTTGAAATATTCATTTTTATATAGAATTCTAGTAAAAGTATCAGTCATAAGGTCAATTTGAATTGTTTTCATTAACAACAATACCTCTCAAGTAGCATTTCTCAAACTGCAGCTAAAGCTCTATAAATAAATATACATATAATGTATGGTTCATAAAAGTATCGAATATAATAAGATTAAGCCATTGTAAGTTTAAGTATAACAAATAAAATTAATAGGAAAAGCGTAATCACAATATTTTTCAATGTAAATAAGGCTGGAAATTTAAATCATGAATTTCTAACTAATAACGAAAGTATTTTTAATGAATTGAAAAAAAATTACGATAAAATAAAATGAAATAGTACATTACGATACTAAGGGAAACTCGCTTCGCTCAGGCGTAAACGCCACACGAGATAAGAATCTACTTTCCCGCACTTGTACCGTTATGTACTAATTCCACAAGGCGTGCGAGAAGTTCGATTTCCCGCACGGTTATTCGGCGTGCGGGAAGTAAAAGTAGGTAGGGTTAAGCGTGCGGGAAGTAAAAGTAGGTAGGGTTAAGCGTGCGGGAAGTAAAAATAAGTAGGGGTAAGCGTGCGGGAAGTAAAAATAGGTAGGAGTAAGCATGCGGAAAGTAAAAGTAGGTAAAAGTACACGCAGATCTATTGCATGTGCTGACGCTTAATGGCCTGTTATAAAAGACGAGACGAGTATGGATTTCCCCAATTTGAGCACTATTATTTTCCGCACGGAGCGTTAGAAAACGCAATTAGCATGGGGACGGAATGCGGGAAAATCCATAGGGTTTCTCAAAGAAATATTATTAAGAAATATTATTAAGAAATATTTCTCAAGAAATAATTATTCATTTTGTAACTAATAATTCAAAAGTTTTTCATATTTTTTTACGAACGAGGGAGGGCACCAGCCGAAATTTCCTTTCCTTCTCTTTCTGCTCACATAAACCTACTGCACTCGAACTTCCCGCACTTGTGTGAAAATAGTACATTACGATACAAGTGCGGGAAAGTAGATTCTGGTCTCGTGTGGCGTTTACACCCGAGCGAAGCGAGGGTGGAAGGGGACACGAGACGAGAAACTCTTTCCCGAACATGTGCCGTACCGTATTTTTTGATACGACGTGTGGAAAGTGCGATTTTCAACGCACGTTTTCTGCCGAGCGTGCGGGAAAGACGCACTTTGCGCACGGAGTGTCGAAAAATAATGTACGTAACTTGTGCGTGAAGTATGTGATCGTCGCACGGGCATTGTCGCAAACTTCACCCGTGCAGAGATCATCTACTTCCCATACGCGTTACGTAATGTACTATATTTTTCTTGAAAAAACAAACATTTTTTGTCAAAAGAGTTTTTTTTTACGATGTACACATTCAGAGATAAACGAAATTGAAAAAAGAGTGACTTAAAAAATGAAATCAGCATAACTTTAGGTCGGCTCAATAAAAAAGAATTTTGTTGCACTCATTTTAAAAAGGAGGCAAATACGTATTCATCCCATTTTATTTTTCAAAAATCTGCAGACTCCTTCAAAAGTTAGAAAGTGTTTCTTGCAGTTTGAAAAAAATGAAAAAATGTGATCCAGTTTTTTAGTGTAAAAAATACTATTTTCAATCGTTTAATAAAAACTATCGAAATATGAAAAGTATTGCTTTACCCTTTAAAATGAGCTTCGCGGGTTCACTTACGACTATTTCCGTGCGAGCTACAAAATTAAAAATTTTTGATAATTTCACTATAGGCTGGCCAAAAACTTATGTACGTAACTGTATGTATATTTTGCAATATATAAATGTTAATAGTTTAAGTTTAATTATACATTCTTGTATATAATTGTATGTCATTGATTTGTATTGACAAATAAATAAAAATACTATGAACATTTTTTTATTAAAAGAACATTTCGACACTCCGTTCGGAAAGTGCATTTTTCTTGCACGCTCGGCAAAAAGCGTGCGTTGAAAATCGCACTTTCCACGCATCGTATCAAAAAATACGGTACGGCACATGTTCAGGAAAGAGTTTCTTGTCTCGTGTGGCGTTTACGCCCGAGCGAAACGAGTCAAGTCGCACTTGTATCGTAATGTACTGGTTCCTATTCTTTAACAGATACACATTGTGTTTAGGTATTATTAATATAATATACGATATAATCAGTGAGGCTTTTCAAATGACACTATATCAATCATAGGATTGATATAGTGTCATTATACGTACCTTGAGAACTTGGGACACATTCCAAGCATGTAATAATTGCAGAAACTGGAAGAGGTCTGAATTATGTATTATAATTTTTTTTAATTACCTTCACCAATTTGATAAAGCATGTCAATAAACTAGAAATCTTATTTTATTACTATTTAATCATATAAAACACATAAGAAATATATTTTTAAGTTTATTGATTCATACTTAAAATAACAATTCGCTGAAGTAATATCATACTTTTAAAAGTTTTCAAATGACATTATTACTTATTGATGATCCAGAATTTTTACGGTTCCAAAGAAGAAAGAGTATAATTATGGAGTATTATGTATTACAAATGAATACAAATAATATATATACATACTCTTGGCTTTTTCAGGAAATAAAATGCAAATTTTTATGCAGCAAAAAAATCATTTTTATCAACATTTTATAACACTAAAAATAACATTTTAGAAATAAAAATAGTATATATTACCTAGGTTAAGTATGTGCCAGCACATGAGGCACAAAAATTGAAAAACATGAACTATAACGTTACAAATTATTGTTTCAATCATATATTAGTAATTTACTTTCTTCAATAACTTTACTTTTTTCGCATTTTCAACCTAATTATTTCAAAACCACAAAAATGGACTTTACGATTATACCAAACAGTTTAAGAATTATTTTAAAGTAAATATCGTAAGCTTTGTTTTTTTTTAATAATTCTTCGACCTGTGTGAAATTTATGTACATAGATATTGTAACGATGAGATTTGAATCATATTTAAATTTCATTCCCTCTCCTATTGATGGCCGTCTTGCGCGCCCCTTAATCTCTCTCCGAGGTTTTAAAGGAGAGGATAGTCTAGCGCTCGGGCAGAAGGAATTAAGACTCGCTGTCGATGACAAGTACGTGATGTGTGACTCAACAATTGGCCGATGATTATCCGCTTAACAGATTTGTAGTGTGATCTACCGATGGCTACAAGTATACACACACGAACGCAGATATCTCGAGAGAATCATTTGCTGACACTGTCCTGAAACTGCAAGCCTATCACAGACTGTGAGGATAAAATTACAAGAATCTTATCAACTTCACTTTGAGCAATGGAGGATTGGTCTGCAGACAGTGGATTATTAGACGACAATTAGTAAAAACGACTGTAAGACGCACTTATTCTAATGATATCATTGCGGGATAGAACTTGTAATAATTCTTATAAACAGTTAAATTAGAATCTCTATTGTACCGAGGTATTAAGAATAGTGTAAGCGTGATCACGTAAATTATAGCATCGTTAAATAAATTGAATGTTAATTGTAAGGATCAATATAGTGTGTTATTGCCATGATCTTGTTCGTGAGCTCTTAGTCGTTTGCCTATTTACTTATGCTCTACCGATTTTTAAATGTCATGTTTGTGTTGGCCTTTAATTCAAGTTCCGAATAAAATTTATTTTGTACTATATTACTTTGAAATTTTTACAATATTACAATTCAAATTTTATTGAATCAAAATGTTTCATGCTCAAACATTTTATAGCTCATGCATAAAACCCTTCACGATACTATTACAAAATTACGAATTCAACCCCATGACAATATTTTCAAAGAACAAATCGTCTAAAAATAAAGAGCTAAATTACTTACTGTGATAATGAATTTGTTTTGATATGGCGGGTTATGAATAAATAAAGTGCAATTTATTTAAGAAATTTGTATTATAAGCAATTTAGAGACTAAAAATTATTATATATTATATATTCATAATTATAATACCGAATACATGAAATAATAATAACGTAAAGTGCAATAGAAAATATTGAATGGTGTAACTAACAAAATCATATTATTCCACATAATTGGTAAAATAAGCCGAAAAAGTAAATAATAGTTTTGTATATCACGATTCATTCTCAATAAATAGTTTCCATTTCTAAATGCTACTTGCAAAATTTTCTTCAAACTTCTAATAATAAGTCTTTTTTATTTGAAAAACGATTCACAAAACTAATATCTCAGGTTCGGCTTTGATGCAATCTTATTGACAAATTATTCCATTGCTTTCTTCTTTTTACTTATACAAACAATATATAAGTAACTTAAAAATGTATTCGCAATGAGTTTGTTTCGTTATTCATCGATGATTGTTTGCTCAGTCCTTGATTACTCTAAGCCGTTCGTAGTTGAACTCAAACACTTGCAATCTATCAAGAATTTATTATTACAAAATACAATAAGTTGAGCCTAAGCAACGAAAGGAAATATTGTTGAAATTTTAATGAAATATAATATATTGGATAAATTATTAATGAAATGTTGAAATTTGCGCTTGATTTGAGCTGGACATTGTTCGTTAGTTCGATATGAGGAATCTCGGTCTGTTCCACCATATATAATGTGCAATAAATATCTAGTTATCAATAATGAAAAAGAAAAAAAAATGTTACGACTGCTGTGCAGAATAATAAGTGAATTTTTTGTCAATTGGATCACAATACGCTGTGTCTTATGAAGTCAGTGTTACAGCGCAGATGTTGAACATAATTGAGGTTTACGCGTTCAAAGAATCTTCTGATATCTGAGACTATAATAGGCCCTAGTATGGTAGCTATAGTGCCGAATCTTGGGCTTATATCCCGTGAGGATGCGCATGTCTGAGCAGCGTTTGTAGCTTCGGTTCGTAACATTCTTCGAATCGTACATCCTGAGTGCGCGCTCGGGCCATTCTTCAGCACGTGGCTCTTCGCGACTAAGTCCCTTATTCCTCTTGTTCATCCAATCGATCACATCGTTATAGTAGTTTTGCCTTGTAACAGAAGGTAATATTATTGGCTTATTATTGATTTAAAATGTGACGAGGGCAGAGCCAGTGGGACTGAAGAGCAAAAATATTGTTGGTCGATCGTCCCAAGCTTGTGAAATATTGATTCGATTGAGAGGAACGTTAACCTCGGTATGACAATGGACCGAGGTTTCGATAGGCCAGCGAGGCACGCGACAGCAAAGAATGGGGCCTTGGCCAACAAATAATTCAGATTGACAAGGGCGGATGAGCTGCGCGAAGGAAAGATGAGGCTCGCAAACAACTCACCTGTAGTCGTAGATGTAACCGTAATTAAGGAAAAGCGGACGGACCCAGTGGTAGGTGTACTTGGGCGGGTCGGCCTTGGGCATGGTCCTCCAGTCGAAGCCGGCTTCTGGAGCAGCAGCAGCGGCGGCGGGAGCACCAGCCTCTCCTCCGGCTGCCGCTGCTTCGTCACCCGCGGCCGCAGGTGTCTCGTCGACATCCCAAGGTGATGGCTCGTCGTCCCACATGCTGATCTTCTAATCTGACTGCTGCAACCACACAAGCGCCCGTGAGACTTTCGATAGCTTTCGCGATCGCACGAGACCTGCCTGCCTGCCTGCCTGCCTACTACCCGTCGAACCGAAGAACTCGATCGAGTTAAATCGGGGACCACTGCGCTTTTGGCGAGGGCGCGGCTATTTGAGAATGTATTTGACCTCGATTTCGTCCTTTTGTCCGATACGTCGCTATTTCTTTTTTATTGCTTCGTAAACAATACCGCTTTTTCGCCCCGCTCTTTTTCTTTTTCTTTCGAATGCTCAGTCATTCTTATTTTCTACATTTGTATTTACACAAGTATAGTAAGCCTACAGCTTATCTATTGGAGGTATTTTTTAATTATTTCATAATTAGTCTTATTTTTTAATATTTTTTCCTTAGGAAAGTTTGCACGTTCAGTTTTCTTTGAACAATCACTCAGTTGTAAAAGCTTTGTATTCGTTTCTTTGGAAACACTAGTATAACAGCTTTTGCATTGCACAATCCAAGATATTTTCAATTATCGTTGAATACAACTTGGTTTTCTGCCTTTGAGCTCCGATAAATTGAGATCGTGCCTAACAATTAAATTTTAAGACGATATTTATTTTACTTTTTAATAAATTAACTTATTTTCTAAAGTTGATCACATTATAATCATAACGAAAAAGAACTTGTATGTTCATATCTTATTTACGAACATCGCAACTATGAACCGATACCTGAATTCTTAAATTAAAGAAAAATTAAGCGATAATTTTTAAAACTATCAAGTAATTTTTCAGTTGGCTTAATTGTTATTGTACTTGATATAAATTATAAATCAATTTTAAATAATTGACTCGGTATTGAGAAGTAAATTCGTTTTATTCTCTTGTAAGTATTTTCTTTGATAAATTTTTGAATCAGCCTAATAGCCAAGACTAATGCGCTTTTTAAAATTGCATCTGCTTTGGTAAAGAATCACTTTATGACAAAAAAAATCACAAAAATTCACTTGCAAACACTTTTAAAAAGAGTAAAAATTGTGTGCAAAGTTGCAACAATCACTAGCAATACGGGTATAGTTGAAGTTCAATTGTCTTGAATAAGCACCGTACCTCAAGTACAAAAAATACGAAACTGCACTGGCACTGATTGCAGTAGGATATCGACGAGCACCTAGTTGGAGCTGTTTTGTTCGAATGACCGTTACGATCGCTGTACTTGCCGAATACACGGCTATTCTTTTAGCTTATATTATTTTGGCCGAAACCCCTCCACCTGTGACGCCGTGCTAATCGCTCAGGTGGGGATTCTGATTCATGCAACGTATTCTTTTCGTAGGCTAAGGGCCGTGGATCGTACACGTGCGTGACCACCTTACCCTGACCGCATCAAAACACGTTCGAACTTCAGTTCATACCACGTGTCGTTCGCTCGATGGTCAATATTGACTGTATCTTTTAAGAAACATGATAATCTTAGAAATACCATTTCCTCTTCCTGTACATTTTATCTCTAGCCGTCGCCATGAATCCTACGAACATCTCAATTCAAGCACCGTATATGAAATTTAAATTATATAGGTATCTTACACGGGTAATATGTACTGCATGCTTTACAAATTATTATGTCAAAATTAGCCATGATAGCAGTAATATAATCAATTCATCGAGAGTGATAAGAATTTTGGGAAAAGAATAGCGATGGAATGTTTCAATCGTCTCTATCAATGCTTCGATGTTCAATAAGAAATGCTGGATACCTTCAACTTTGATACTTATTTTCTATGAATACAGTGGGTATTGAATATCCTTATAATTTTCTTGTAAATACTTGTTACATGAAAAATAGTTCAAAAATCGTAAACAGTTGTCGATTTAATAACCACATTCACAACTGAGCATCTTAATATGGATGTATGATGATTTTTAATATTCATTTTGAAAAGATCAATTATAATATAATTATAATTTTTAATATAAATTTTATATATAAAGACTAAAAATAGATGCCTCGAAAAATTCGTTTTCTTTAGATATGTCCCTAACATTATAAAAAGTACTACGAATTTATTAATAGGTTCTTCAAGCTCAACAATCATCCTTGTACATTCGCACTATACTTCCAATAGGAGGAAGAAATTTATCAAAAAATTACTTAATTAAAAATGTATTTAATTCTATGACACTCTTATGAAACTCTTTTATTACGTTAACATATTCCTACTAATATCTTTGATACTCTGATTTATTGTCATTAGCTAATATAATAAGGAATTCTCATACTTTTTCTACAATATTTTCTCTATAATTCTTCTGTTATATATTATAATATCAAGATGATATTTGTCTTTTTCAAGATCTAATGGAAACACAAGAACGAACTTTACTTTTAATAAATTATAATTGAACTTATACATCAAAAATATTAATTATAATAAACTATATACAATAATCTAAAGGAATGATATATGATAGTTTATTGTCAAAATAGACATGTAGTGACAAAACTAAACATAACATCGAATTTGAATACATAATAGGATATTACGTATTCCAGTTAGATAAAGCGAGAATCAGTACATTTAATTCAAGAAGATCACTCATCTTGACTGACTTTGAATTGGTGAAAACAAATTTTTCTGAATTACATAATATCTGTATAATAACAATATATAAGTAACTTTATATTAGCAGTATAGTAACATTAGAATAAGTTTTATGATACTTAATTACAAGAAGAACGTATTGATGCTCTTTTTTCTTTGTCAAATTCTTATTTTCCTCAAATTTATCCCGATTTCAATATCCAAATTAATATAATTTAAAAATTAAAAAATTGACAAGATAGGGAAGGGCTAAATATATAGAATAAAATTTTTATATAAATCATTATAATTTCATCGGTTCCATAAAAAGGCGGTTCACATAAGAGTGTTTAACTTCAGAGGTTTTACTGTATGCTTTTCAGTAAAGAATTTGTTTTTCAACAATTTAAAAAATTATACTAGAATTTTTATATTATTTTAATTTAAAATAATTATATTTAGAATGACATTCGATCAATAACGAAAAAAAGATAGGAAAACTCATACTTTTGAATTAACGTATCTGAAAGGCGTATAAATGACATCATCTCTGGATAACACATTGCTATCAGTTTTATGCTTGAAACTGTGAATTAATATTAGTTCTGAAGTTACGAATATCCACTAATACTTGCTTTAAATTATTACACTCATATGAACAATAGGTATTAATTCAATTTCCAATATTTATTTGAAAATCAGAAGCAATAATTCAGACATGAAATTCATTTGGACAATATGTATATAATGTATATTATATCTGTAAATATCATGGAAGTGTAATCCATCAACTGCAATAACAACATTTTTCAGTGGCTGCTTATTTTACTACAAATTTATTAATAGTGAAATAAATATCATGCTAAATAAGCATTATTTCTAATTTGCATCTGATTGATACATCAGTATTTTTAAATTTATCAATAACGAATGTTATTGAAAAAAAAAACATTTAAATCAAATTTTCAATAAAAAATACTATTTTTCCCTATACACCTGTATCCATCGGCATATAGTGCGGAAAAGCTCTTCAAAAAGATTTATATAATTTCTTTTTACACAAGGAACTCGTAAATTTGATCAAACAAAGAATGTCTGGTAGAAAAAACTAATACAAAGCCAATAGTTTAAGATTTGAAAGCAGTAACATATTCAAGTTTCTGTTACTGCACTTTATTACTCCAACCCATGAAACAACGGTTCCTACTATTATCCACCAAATTAAATGCATATTCCTCAAGCATAGTATTTATTGTTTTCTGAACCATCGATGACTGCCGCAGGAAGAGTTTGAGAAAATGAAGACTCATAGACAACACAGAACAATTAATAGTGACGCCTACCCACATTTGACGTAAACGCCAGCCTGTATCTGACACCTTACTCTGGTTTACTTACTATAATTCAAACACTTGCAGCTGCGCATGCTTACGGTCCAAATATAATGTCAGGGTGCTTAATTGGCTGCGAAAAAGTGTTCCGCTATGATGAATGAATACCTACCAGAAGTTCTCTAGTAGGTACGCGTGCAGCTAATGTTTCGCTCAGTATTCCCCACAACTCGATGTGCACTAGTCGTCGATCTGTACGTCGTTGCTTTATCTTCCATAGCTCAGATTTCAGTGGATCATTAATAGTTCATTCTGCTGAATTAACAATATCATCTATCGAATTATTGTGATCAAATAACACATTCCAGTATGATAAACGATGCCTCAATATTTTGAATTTGTAATTTTTCTGACATTGATTAATAAGTATTTTAGCAAACAGCCTTTATTTCCAGACGCATTTGAACGATAAATGCCAAGCAGTAAAAATTATTTGTTTGAATATCTACACAATTTAGTTACTATTCTGATAAATTAGGTATGCATTATTTATTTTTCAATAAATGAGTTTAATTTCATTTTAAAACAAATTTCATATTGCTTTTAGGTTTTCTTTGTAAAATTTCATAATTCCCAAATTTTCAATTGAAAAAATTATGGCAAAATTATTTTAATTTTAGAAATTTGGTAATCTACAAAAAAATTTATTGAAATAACAGTTTTTTTCGAATGTTATCCTGTATGATGTTAAAAATTAGATAAACATGCAACAAGCTTTAACAATACAACTAATAAACAATGCGAGTAAAAAGTACTAGTATACCTGCAGATATACGGAATTTACTATTTGACAATTTTGATTAATTCTACATTTTCAGATCAAACGTAAGTTTAAGATTTGTCATATATATTTTTTGTCAATAATTTATGACATAACAAAAAGAATTGATCATACTAGATTAAATAAATTTGATTCGGTTGCACTTCTTGTGTAGATAATAGCAAAAAATGCTTAATTAAACACACGGGCTTTCTATAAAGTTACTGCATAAGTTTCCTTCAGGCTATAGTGATATGAATTTGTCAAGCCCGACCTACGATTTATTACAACATAAAGTTATATCCGAGTAATATTGTGGATCTTAGTAAATCAATTGTATGTTACGTAATCAATACATTAAAATAGCTTAAAATAGAGTAGTTATTGATTTCATTAAAAAAATTGCCGAGCATAATGGGTATATGTAGAAACATCTTGTTCTCAAGATGTTTGGTGCAATTAAATTTAATATGACTATCGAATTTTTGAAATTTAATAGTTTTCCAATTTGACAGATTAGTGAATTAATAAAAGCAAATAAAAGTAAACTTATTTTGAGAGATTCTTATATCTGTTAATGTATAATAAATTAAGGGGATATCTGCAGGTTGTGTCGAACGTTTATTCTCATCATTAATTAGAATTTGAAATTTTACTTTATTAACAGTTAAAAATATTTGGTACAAATAATTAATTTTTTCATTGGTTGATCTTAGAAAACAAATGTTTACAAATGTGTAAGCGAAAAAGCTAAAATAAGTAACTGTGGCAATGTTAATTACTCGATTCGATGACAGAGATATCATGATGTAAAACATGAAATAAATGAATGTAAAGCAATTAAATTGAATAGTCAGCTGCACGAAGAGCATGAAATGTAAAATAAACGTGCCCACAGCTGAATAAAATAATTGAAAGCGATAGAAGAATAAAGAACATAAAGAAAATGATAATCGAATTTGAAAATAATAGGTTATGGTTGCATCGATGAATGACATTGATCTAGAAGGAGACGCTCTTCTTTCTCTTGGAGTATCCGCGTTTACCACGCGGTTCGAGCTTCTCGATATAGGGATTGTTGGTGCCATCGACGATAGAGTTAAGTCGAGTTCTGCGCATCTGAGTTGGAGTTGCCTCGAGTGGCATGGTGCCCTCTTCGACCGGCACCAATTTGGTCCACTTGACGTTACTAGATTTGGTATCAGGTACCTCCATGGCAGCGAGCGTGCGCGCACGCTCCAATCGTTGGGCTAGCGACGTGTTCTCCACGTCACCCCCCTGATTATCAAAGCGCAAGGCGTGACGCCCGAACACATTATCTGCCTGTTCCAGAGTGTTTCGAGCTTTCTCGATCTCCGCATTCAGGTCTATCATGTCGAATAGACGATCCTAATTGGGCCAATAATTGACGCCTATTAATAGCATGTTCATTCTTTAATCCGATCGCGTAACGATTACTCTCAAAGCTTCAGATAGGTCCAGTGATTTAAGTATTTGAATAAAATCGTTTTCAGTTATGATTCAATTATACGCCCACGTACGCTTATGAAAATAGTTTAATCAACCTGTACATCCCGTCGCTTGCGACGCAACTCGGCCAGATCTTCATCAAAAGCAGCAGAGGCACGGTCTTTGAAACGTCTTTGACTGGAAACGAACTCATCTTCGAACGGATCTTCGGAATGACCGCGTCCGTAACAAAAATCAAGATCATCGTATGAATCGCTGCGACCTCCTAGATTTCTTGATCCTAAAATTGCATTTTGACGTGTATTTTCTCCAATACGCAACAGCTATGATCAGTCGCATAAACAACATCAGATCTTATTATATAACAAAAATATTTGTTCGCGTTTCAACATCTCAGATAAATTGTATTGAATGTAGCTCGAGTGCTAATACAATGTTTAGATGAAAGCTTTTTAATATAAACCCTTTTATTATTCGTTCAAGAAATTGAGAGGCGTGATAGTACTTGAAGATATTTCTGAGATAAAAACAATTTACTTGATTTCTACTTTTATTACATCGTTGACATAATTGACTTACCTCCATGTGGCGATCACTCGATGAAATGCGTTTGCGCTGGCTTGTTTTCGCGGACAATCATGCTTGAAATGCAAAATCAACAGGTTGCTCAAACTACATAAAGTGCTGGTGTAGCGGGTATACAACACTCTTTAAAGGAAAGAATTCATGCTTGACTTGGTCGGAGGAATATTCAAAGCAAGTATAGGATGTAATAAACATACGATATAAATAAATTCGTTGACAGAACACGAAACACCATTTCGTGAATCCGTTTTATTATTCGTAATATGAAAAAGTATACATGATCATATACGCGTTATAAGCTACGAAACACAACCGTAGCTTCACTGTTTGAGGAACACATTTATCTTTTCTTTCTTCACAAGACAAAATGATAAATACCTTCAATGTAATAATATTTTTTTAAGAAAAAATAAAACGTAATATTGTTTTACAATAATTCCAAGTGTTGATCAATCAGAAAAAGACTAATGTTCTCAAGGTGTTTGAGACGTTTATAAAAACGCATTGATCTAACTTAATGAAAGAGAATCGTCAATACGTAAATTACATTGTTTATTTATTTCGCTTCAGTTAGCAGTGGGTACTAAATATGTTAATACTTGATTATAACAATAAATAATTGATTGACAAGGAATACATGTCTTTCGCTAGATTACCATTCAACCTAGAAGTATAGAAGTTGAACGAAATAGCAGCTGCACAGCAGACGACAAGTTCCTCAATAAATGTCTAAATAAATAAATAATTGAATCTAATAGTACGATTAATAGGGAATCTTGAAGAAAATAGACGTATTTAAAAAAATGCTCGACAGTCGATTGATAGTAGAGTATACGTATCGAAATGTTATTAGAATCCAGAACGAATGAAAAGATCACCGAGTCAGTGGTGGGCGAAAACGATAGAGTGCGCTGGAGCAATTATATAGGGGGAGAGAAGGGCAGCGGCGAAGAGGTGGTGCGACGAGCGAGAGCGGGACTCGTTAGAAAGAGACGTGCTTCTCGGTCTTCTCGGAGCGGTGCAGCGAGAGCTTGCTGGCGCTGGCGAGCGTCTCGTCGGCCGCGGAGCTGGTCTCGCTGATGAGCGCCCGCAGGGCGGCGGCCCTGCGCTCGCGCCGCGCCTGCTTCTCGGCCATCTCCTCCATCTCGAGCTCGAGGTCGTCGAGGCGCGCCTTGCTGAGCCGCGCCCTGCCGGCGGCGGCGCTGCTCGAGTCCTCGGGCGCCAGCCCGGCCTCGAGCTTCGTCCACTTGGCCAGCGGGGTGGGCTTGGCCAGGTCGTCGAGCAGCTCCTTGGCGTCGGCCTCGAAGGCGCGGGCGCGCGCGGCGCGCCGGCTGGCCACGCTCTCCTGTGCGGCGATGCTGCCGCTGCTGACGGCCTCCTCGTCGACCAGGTGCATGCGCTTCTTGATGCGGCTGGCGGTGGCGGCCATCTCGCTGGCGAACTCGTCGCCGAGGGCCGAGCGCCGGGGCCCGCGCGAGGTGCGCCGCCCGTGGATGTCGAACACCGTGTCTTCGTCCTCGAAGAAGGGATCCGGCTGGGGCGAGCCGAGGCTCCGCAGGGGGCGCCGGCCGAACGCCTCGTGATCGCTCTCGAGCTCGCTTCGACCCAGCCGTGCCTGTCTCGAGCCCGCGAGGTCGCGCGTTCCTGCAAGAATTACCGGCACATTGGCTCCTCTCTCTCTCTCTCTCTCTCTCCTATCTCCGTTTCAAATATTCGCACTGGGATAAGCTCTACTATCTTCGTGTACTTTGACCAATTCACGCCACGATTTCCGATCACTTTAAGCAATAAGATTTAGAATTACAAATTCTGATAAACGTAGCTTAGAAATTGTCTGAGAAGAAGCCTGAGAAAAGACAAACGAGATTTATTTTATACACATTATTGATTGACAGTTGCTTACGACATACCTATAAAGGGTATGTTCAAAGTCAATAGTTTCAGCCATAAGCTTTGTTCAGATCAATTATCAAAATGGCACTATCTTTTTTTGTGAAATTATCCTTAATCAAAATATATTACTCATTAATTCCAGAAGACTTAAAATGCGAATCGGTAAAATGTATTAACACGCAGAAGCTCAAGTTCAGCGGGGCTCCAGTGTCCCATATTCTCATTAAACTTAGAACTCCACACCTACGCTCTCATCTCGGAATAAGTTCTAGTATTGCGGAAATAACCTTCGTTCCGCGAATTTCCTTGGCCTATCGTAAAAGTAGTTCAAGGTCATTCGACACAGACTATCGTTCTTTCACAGGATTTTAAGCAACTTTTTTTAAGATCTTTACATCGTTTCCACTAACATTTGTAGTAAACATCATTATCTGACATATGCCCTGCTGTCAACAGATTATTAGAGGAAATATTTTTAATCTACGTATTGTGCAATGCTTTTTTCAACTCACGCTTTTCTTGAAGGAAACACATTTTTTTAATCATAATTTATGAAAAATGCTACTGTTTTGTCCTGCGCCATTTAATTCTCATTACAAAGTATACTGATGAATGATAGTTTTTCGTGGAAAATAGGCGAATCAGATAAATGAACAAAAGTGAATTTTGTTTTGACTAGTTATATCAGATATCATTGATGCAGAGTGAAATTAGTTACATATATAAATTTCTAATATATTACTTTTAAAGGTACATTATAAAATTTCAACTTTATTATTGAAATTATAGAAGTTTAACTTGTTTGAATCGCTTGCTTTGTAAAATGGCAAACGTACTTTTGCGACAAATTATTAAACTCCAGATTAATAATTTGCCTAGTTAGGCAATCTGCGTTTGACATTGAATAATATTAACTTTCTATCGCGAATTTCTTGGCGTTTCATTTGAATTAGATCTCTGTTAAAAACTGTTCGCTTACATGTATAACCTTCATATTCATATTTCACTTCAGAATAATCGAAAGAAGGGCAGAAAGCTATAGTTGCGTAGTAGAAAGTGTTGCAGCTGCAGAGAAGTTATAGCAAAAATCATAAGAAATCTACATAATATGTAAATAACCTTAAGGTAACACTCGCTTCTTTCGCAAATTAAAGACCTTAGAAAAGATAAAAAATAAAGATAAGACCAAAGCATGACTAAAAAGTAAACCGAAGAAACTTGTGAAGAAAGAATAAGACGGTATAATCAGTTCGTAAAAGTGAACAAAGTGTGAAACGCAATGCAGTAAAATATCGTAAAAAAAAAGAAACAAAGAAAAAAATACCCAAAAGAGAAACAAATATAACAATAACAAAACTCATGCGACTCCAGTTTATGTTTGTAGAAAATGAGGCAAACATTTATTCAGTAAATCAGTATTCAATACAATGATTATGGACAACAACTGGTGTGAGCCGTAAGTTGACAAACGCACAAAAGAAGGGTGCACAATTTTGAGTAAGATATTATAAGGACTGACAGATTGGAAACGTGAACACGCATAGGTATATTATTGAAGGTTTTTGCAGGAAGACAATACTTGATAATAGTTTTTTTGTATATATATCGTTTGTGGTGATCGGATTGCACTCTCCCGTCGATCGTATTCATTTGATTTGGTGTTTTGATTCGAATCGGATCGCGCGGTCGATCGGTCGTGGTCGCGATGCGGCACAGGTAAAACGGAAAAACTAAACGAGTGTTCTGACGATTGAAAAGCCCGTGTAAACTACTCGTGACTACTTGTAAAAAACTCAGCGAGGCGCGATCTCTGGTTAAATTGGTCGAAATTTCGTTGTCCGAGAAAACGCTCAAGTTTGTTTGTGAAAACGTACAGGTGGGTCGATTAAAATGAGCGTGGAATCAGCGTCTCGCGAGTTTGCAAATGGTCGCTGTTCGCGGTCGTGTGGAAAAGGTTGTTCCGAGATGTGAGCTAGAGAGAGCATATCTGAATGTAGGCGAACAAGTGGCGTAAACGGTTGCCGGTGTCGTCTACGTGTCTATGTGGTGTCGGGACAGGGCGAGGGAGATTAAAACCACTTGGGAAAACGACTGAAGACGTTACCGATGTCGCTACGGCGCGCGGCAATCTCGTCGGCGAGCGAGTTGCGTGGCTCAGGGAACAGCGGGCGTCCGCTGTACTTCCTGTTCAGGTTCTCGATCGCCGGCTTGTAGTACGACTCGCCCTTGTCGTAGTTGCAGCCGTAGACGCGCGTGCGCGGCCTGCTGAGGATCGGCCTCGACATTTCTCTTTCAATCGGATTGTCTGCCGCTGCTGCCGCTGCTGCTGCCGCCGCTGCTGCTGCCGCTGCTGCTGCTGCTGCTGCTGCTGCTGCTGCTGCTACTGCTGCTACTGCTCCTCCTGCTCCTCCTCTCTACCTGCAAATACACCAATTGCACCGTTTTCATTCTATTTCGCCACGGCCCTAATCAGCTCCGTCCCAACGAAGCCCTCGTCACGTAGCTTCGTTATTTATACTGCGGAAACTAAGTCGAAAGTCTTTCGTGTGCTCAGTTTGCCAGCTGCCCGCATTTTGTAAAGCCAGCAGTTTTTGTGGCTTGACGAGTGACGACAGTGCGTGACGTCCGGAAAACGTTTCTATATTTATAAGAAAGCGCTCAACTCAGTGCCCACGTCGACGCTGCTATAAAAACGTCATGACTAAGAGGCCGTAAAAATGCGAGAAAAGACTTATTAGCTCGTGCAAGGGGCATCGAGCCGACTAAATTCAAATATCGCGTTCGATGATTGTCCTCTCGGTGCTTGTTTGAGAAAGCACTGGAAAATGGGAAGCTATCGAAAAGGGCACGGGCCAACACGACGAGCATCGCAGGCGGCACGTGCGCCCAGAGGCGAGATTCCGCGCTCGAGGAAGTGGCAAACTGGAGCGTGGCGCGGTCTTTCTCGGTCTCGCGCTCGCCTGGCTAAAATAGCTCGCATCTAATTTGGTGTCCGTGAATCGAAGCGCGCCGAGGAGACGGCGGCGCTGATGCCCGCTCGCTCGCAGCTCATAATCGACCGATGTCCCGCGCGTCTGTCGTCTCTTTTGTGCTCGCTCGTCGTCGCGTCGGCTATTTCAGCTTGCCCAGGCGAGCAGCCGTGTACTTGCAATTGTCATTCCGCTTTGATCCCGTTCCAAATCATGTACCCGCACCCTACCTTACCTTATTTTCGACCTTTTTCTTTCTACTCGAATTTTTACTCGCTCTAGCTATCGCTCGATTTCAGACCAACGATAATCAACGAATTCAGCGCTGTCTCTTTCACCTTCGTTCAAATTTTTATACCAGCAAAAATCAGAATCATTCAAATATCTACAATCTTGTAGTCAACATGAATATCAAAAAAATTATGCAGCTTTAAAGTCAAACTTAGCGTTCACTATGAATAAGCGTCAAGATATTATTTCAAAGAAAATTTATCTACGTTTCTTTACGTTTGCACAGAAGCAATATATTCCATTATGAACGCTTCAAAAACTTAAAAATTACACATATTGTGCATTACGATTAGTGAGTAATGAAAGTTGGCATCGTTAAACGTATCTGTGTAAACACCATTAGACATTTGTTTCTTGAATCTTTATCTAATCAATGAGTTTATATTGAATTCGTAAATGAAAATAAAAATCATAAATATATGAACTTATTCTCGTTGCAAAATAGATCATCATTGACTAGCGTGAATTCATTTCACTATTGACGCGTGAGCGTGTGATATCTTTGACGTCGGAATTTCATAATGACTAGAATAATTTTCAGACGTTTTCATTAATCATACAAAAACTTAAGTTTGTATAAATGTAAGCTTCTAAAACTGGTTTACGATTATCGACTTAAATTAATATACGCCAAGACTTCGTTGATGTATAAACAACTGTTGTTTCATCAACATCCCACTAGTAATAACAATACTTATATTTACACTATAAAGTTTAAAGATACAATAATTTAACCACAATTGGCATTAGTATCGTTTCTATAAGTCTGTACGTAATGGCCAATTAAATATTTGGCATTTGTCTGTTAAATCGAGCCATTGTTCCGTTTTAGAATATAATAAATCACTTCTGACGTCTTTGAGCTAAAATGCGATCGTAGAGTGAATTCCAAGATATTAAACAAATTTATTGAAAACGTTTCATATATTCATAATAGGAAAATTTTAAAGAAAAAATTTTTCATGTAAAAATAAAATAGTGTTATGAAGTTATTCTTTTTCATAATTTCAAAAGTAAATTTTTCAAATCAACGGCAGCATATGATGTTTTGTACCCAAATATGTCTAATACACAAATTAAAATATTATTATAGCGCAACTTGTGATGGACGAACAAGCTTTCGATATTGCCACAGCATGCAGTAATCCGCCCATCAATGCAGTTTTATTTCGATGAGGTTGCGAAATAACGAAGGCGACACAAGAAAAGAGGAAGCTGAGTAGAACAGTTCAGTGTCATGCCAGCCACATTGAAGAGCCGGTAACGAGTTATTTAAGCTATGCTAACGCTTTTAGTTTCTGAGTCAGAGCTGCAAGCCAAGTTTTGATACACTCTTGAATGTCATCTAACTCATAAATGCTTCAACCTATTGTCTTTTTAAATTAATCTGCGAAGACGGAAACCTAATATTCAATTATGTCTTATATTCCCTGCAATTTTCAACTACCTTTCTATAAGTTAATTTGATTCGAGGAAAAATTTCGCGATGGAAAATAATTTCGATTGCGATTTGTGAATATTATAAATTATAGCATTTATTAAAACTTGAATCTTTACAAATGAATGTATGGTTCATAAAATGAGCAAATGTATGAAAATATTTATTAATAATCATTTTTTAGATAAACTTTTAATACTACCTATGAAAAAAAAATGAATATTCAAACCTGCTAGTCCGTACAATTTACTCGACAAATTACTTTTTGCGTATTGATTAACAAAGCTATGATGAAAGTAGCTACAATAAACATAGATGCGACATCTTGTTTACAAGTCTACGAAGTGACATTGTGGTTCCAAATATAAGTGTCTATTTTATTTCCATTAGTCTGATGCATTTCCTGTTTATAGATATCTCAAGATATATAGAATGCTAGCCGTTATGAGTAAAAAATATCAGCCAATAAATTAGCATCAATTCTAATGAATAAACATTTCCAATTATTTCAAAATATTACGCACGGAAGTCGTTCGTTTGTAGTAAATTAATTATAAAAGAACTATGTCATAAGCATTTGTAGTATGACTAATGAATTCTGTGCTCTCGAAAAAATGCATCAAAATATCTGAAAATAAAAGAGTGACATTTTGTAGTAATCGAGTTTTCCGGTTTTTTTTTAAATTTCATTGTCAAAAAATTAATAACTTTTTAACATACATTGGATCTTCCATATTTAGAGATTGTGATTTTTTCAAGTCACCTAATGATAAATAAGATAATTTATAGAACCTCAGCAAATTTTTTATTTTATCAAGTTTTTACCCTCTTGAAAAGATCTAAAATTGACTTCTTAAAATTATGATTTCAACGTACATGAAATGTATCAGCATAAACTTTCTGTATACATCGTTTCTTTCAATTCTTTTAGATTGGGAGGCATTCAGGTCAGCATTAAAAATAGCTCGGAAGAAAAAACAGAATTGCGAATAACTGAACTCGGTGAGCATGTCAAGAAAATTTGTTCGATTTCGCATGCAACTTTGATAATAATAGGTAATTGCATCTCGATCTTGATAATATTTTTGTTCGATAAGTAAAATATTGAAAAGTCGAAGATGAAATAGTTGAAATTATATAAGCTCATAAAAATGAAATGGCTAAAATTTGACGATTGCGCAATGAAATGAAGCTGTAGAGAATTGGGATAAAGAAAAAAATAAATAGCCGAACGACGGAGGGTACCGAGCATTACGCAACAAGTTAACGAACGCGCGTTTGCTCGCCTGCAGTAGCTGGGACGCGAGGGCCCGCCAAATTTAGATGCAAGACATTGTCTCGAATCGCCAGATATCGATTACAAAACATAATTATATCGCCGCATACGAGCTTCGATATTTATAAGGACGAATCGTTATTTTTTATGTTAGCTGAGTGATACATTTTTGAAAATGTACATGATTTAAGAATAAATTTCAGGTTTGAAGTGGTTGATTCGAGTAACCGTTGACACTGATTTGTGAGCTGCGGAGTAGATTGTGCAGCTGCCTAAGACCGAAGAAAACGGTTTGGCTCGATTCATGGAAAGTGCAACGTTACATAAATATTGAAGTAAAACGAACGGCAATGAAACTATTGAACAGTACAAAGAAAAACGTAAAAATAGACAAACGCAAAAAATAAAGTAGGTAAATAGAGCAAGGGGCGTCGGTAACTCGAAAAGCCGAGAGGTGCAGCCGAAGCTGGCAGCGGCGAGAAAAGGGTTAGGCGCGTCGAGGCGAATGCGATATTTTGAAACAGCATATTTGATTATTGCGAGCGCAAGAATCGCAGGGTAAGATTATCGATCAACGCCCGGGCAGAGGTGAGTCAATCGAATGGTTCGCGCGGGCTGTCGTAGCAGTCTGGTGGTCGGCGCAAGCTCGCGGCGATGACGAAAGCCCGCGATAATAAATTGACAGCTGACGAGAGAAGGGCAAAGAGTGTGGAGGCTTGTATGCAGCTGGCGCAACTCACCTAATAAAAAAGAATGGCTCGTTATTTAGCGCTCACTTGACGCGAGATCGCCTTGCGATGTGTACGCGCACGCAACCGCACTTTTTATTATATACGCCAAGCTCTTTACTAAACTTGCGCTTTGCTCCTCTCTTGTCGCTCAAGCTGCCTGCAAAGATATTTAGATGAATGAAAAACTTGTACCTCGAGATTTCGCTATGTTTATTTAGATTCGACACTCGGGATGACGATGATGATGCGCAGTCTCCCGCAGTACCAGAACGACTCCCACGGATAAATTTCGATGTCCGTTTTCTTCTCTTCGCTCTCGTAGCCCACCTCCTCAAGTTCTCCGTCCCACTACCCTCGACTACCAGCCAAACTGCCGCTTCGGCTTAAGAAAGCAAATGGAACGAGATGGAGAGCTAGCAAGTGAACTGCTTAGAGAAAGACGGTCGGTAGAGTGAGAAGGCGACCGAAAGAGAGAGAGAGAGAGAGAGAGAGAGAGAGAGAGAGAGAGAGAGAGAGAGAGAGAGAGAGAGAGAGAGAGAGAGAGAGAGAGAGAGAGAGAGAGAGAGAGAGAGAGAGAGAGAGAGAGAAACAAGAGAGAGAAACAAGAGAAGAGAAACAAGAGAAACACAGCAAACAAGTTAGATGCGGATCAGCCAACTCAACATAGATCAGATGATCGTTTGTCGGTTCATTTCACACCAATTTCACTCCAATTCGCTCTTTACCGCCAATCTCAATATAAATTCTACTATATACATGATAAAAAACCTATTCTTATTACGTAACTAATTTATACGAACAACTAATAGAAAATTGTAGTATTTTTTAGTTTCTAGTTGTATTTAAAATAAACAAAAAAGGACTAGAGCAACACTAAGTCAAAACAATTAAATATAACTTTACTACTTATACATCGGTAATTCAAAATGCACCAACTTACGCATTATTAGATTCAAATATTTTTTTCCACAGAGCGCTCAATGAAATATCTATTATATGCCAAATTCGATACTACATATTATAAGATTGTTAATTACTCCACTCGAAGTGTCGTCATTTCAGTTACTTAGCCAAAATCGATGCCATCTCACGATATACTATTTTATTTTGTCACATTGAATTAATTGACTATTCTCATTTAAGATTTTATCCGAATATTTAATGACAATGTTGACATATTACTTCAAAATTAATCTTCTTTCTATAATGGAAAATTAATCGATTTGCATAAATTTTGTTCTAAATATTTTCATAGTTTACTAACTATAATTGAATAATTTTATCTTTTAGTGATATATAAAGTTTTAACAAAATTACTTTTACAAAATATTAAACAAACACTGCTAACTCATTGGTGGTTAACTTTCTCGTCAACAAATTCGATTTCTAATTTTTTTTTCATTGATATTTATTTTTCATTTCCATGGCCTCAATGACTTGTACAATAAGAACTCGATTCATTGCTTATGATTAGTAATATTTGTACGAAATTTCAAGTCGATTTCATTCAATTTACTCCAGTTATCACAAAAATAAAAGATTTATTTTTAGAAAAAATATTCTTTTACGGAAACTAATCCATACAAAAACTTAAAATTTATAGAATATTTCACTAATAATATCAGACCTTTAGTAAAATATTGAAAAAGTTTCATGCATTATTTTATAAAATATGATTTTTTTTAAACGTTTTGGAACGTAACTTTAAAACGGGACTAGCCAAAGATATAATTTTTTTAAATGAAAGAAAAATAAAGTTACTACAAAATTCTAACACAAAATTTAATAAATCCCATATATAAGACCAAACAAAATTGAAAAAAACTAAATTTCATAATTTACATAATTGCATAATTACATAATTGTGATTATGACCAAACTACTCGATAGATTTATTTGAATGAATCTTTTTTCCACCCTTCAAAAACACATCCAAAAAGCCTTTACGCGACATTTTACCGTATAAAATTTCAGTTATTGATGACACATATACCCATAACACACACATGCACACACGCGCGCACACACACACACACATTTCGTAATGATTGCATTTTTAGACCCGCGTTAACTTTAATAAACTTTTAAAGTGATTTTCGGTAAAAAAAAAATTTTCATCCAAACAAAGCTTCTAAAGGGAAATAGATTTGAGCAATATATCACGTAGTATAAAATATTTTATTAAAAAGATATAAATATGAAATTTTTCATAAAAATCCGGTATAAATATTGTAAAATGTTTAAGAAATAAATAAATAAAATACCAGTGACATTTTTTATGTAATATTTATACAGAAATATTTCACTAAAATATTCATTGCCTACATCAAAAACATTACCTAGAACCTGTCTATAAGCTTTGTAGAAATATCGAACAAATTATTCCATGAAAAGACTTGAGAACGTTTATTAAAACATTTTCATAGTTGAAAGAATCAACATGGGAATATATTTCCTGAATATATATTTTGAAAGCATTGCCTCGACTTTCCAAATATTTTTCAAAATATTACTATTTAGTAATTATTTAATTTCATGGAAGAAATATTTACTTGCTCGTGAAAAGCCACAGAAATATTAGGGAAAAACTTGTAATGTTGAAAAATTTATAGAGTAATTCTTTGAAAAATTTTTGTAATATTTATATGTCTGTGCAAAATAAACCATAGACATATTACAGTAAAAGTTATTGCAATGTATTTTGAAAATTTGAATAAAATTTAAGAAATATAGCGGCAACCATTTCTGTAACATTCCTGCAGCATAAATTTCACAAGCTGCATAAATATCATAGAGATATTTCAATCTCGACATGAAAACTTGTTGAAAACTTGCAACACTTTTTCTAGTTCTTCGTTATAGCAGTAAGATTAATTGAATTTTTCTATTCTAAGAAAATGTGTTACATTTTTACTGGTTTATGTATGCAGTACTAGTATTTACTATTTACTATTGTATCTTGTAAAATTACCCATTAAATTTTTTGCTTTCTTTTGCATAATATTGATAATCTTCTAGTTTAGAGTTGAGGTTTCCTCAGGTATAATAAATGCAATTTACTATTCCTGGAAATATTATTTAAAGATCTTTTTCTCATTTTTAAAATTTAACAGAAAGTTATAGGTTTTCAAATAATATACTAATAATTTCAAAAATAGAACGTTGAATTTATTTCAATATGTATTTACACCAATTAAGATTATGAAGCTTCTTAAAAAATACTTAAAAAACTCATACAAACAATTCTAAAAAAATATACTAAATAACAAGGCCTATTAATATGATATGGTATATTAAGTATATTTATTAGTATAAATTAATAACTTTATTAAGATCCCCTCCATTAATATTTATAGATATACTGTCAATGGAGAAATTTGATTGTGACTTTAACCTCCAATAGTTCGCCTAAAATATATAAATCAAAGGTGCTAGAAAAAATTCTTCAAAAAATAATCATACCTTAAGTGAGACATCAATCTTGGAATATTTTGAACAGTGGTTTCTTTATAATTAATTAAAAAGTCAACTATAATTTCTAGCTATTATTTATGTTTAAACTCACGATGGATAAACAAAATGTTTTCGCACTTTACAATCAAGCTAACTCTGGAACATCATTGATTTTTTTATTATTTTATGTAGAAACTACTGCTCAAATCATTTCAAGATGATTAGTCACAAACTAGATATGAACATTTCTTAACGATAATTTTTTCGAGCATCTTTGATTTTTAATTTAGACAAATGTTTGGAGGGAAATTGCGACAAAATTTCTCCATTAACTATATATCTATGGACATTGAGGGGGAGCTTTAATTTATTTATAAATTTGGCAAAGATACATTATTATGTCACGTGTTACCAAACTGTAAATGCCTGTATTAATTTATCATAAGTACAAAATGGTAAATAAAAGTAATACTTTTAACAAATAAAATAAAATTTTATTAGGTTTTAAAATGAGTAATGCAATATAATGCTCATGTTTAAACTACATTATTTACAGCACTATGAAATCAATGATCAGTAATATTTAGAAATTAAAACTTTCTAGAAGATTACTTTTACTATTTCACTTTCTCAAAGATCTTATGAACTTGTCGTTTTATCTAATATATACAGTTTTTTAAAATACATACAAAATTGTCATTCACAATGGTGAATAATTTATCATCAGTTCAATAATAAAATTGATTATAATTTTTTACTTGTAAAATCATACTTGTTCCAAGTCTATATCTGTGTTTTTTTTTATACTTAAGAAACATGCTCCATTTGAAGAACTTTGTCCACTAAAAATTACACAAATCAAACCATTGAAAGCTGTATGTTTCCAAAGTTTCTTTACCCATTTATCTACACTATTTATAGTTTTATCCAAGTTCTCTTCTGAAATCTGATCTTCACTAAATTTTACATGACAAAAATTTAAAGCATGCTCCATAGCTACTTCACTACATCTACTGACAGCTTCTTTATTACTATTCACCACTGCAAGTCTCACATTGTCCCCTTTTCCAAATTCTTTATCTTCCATTATATTTAATGTAGAATTTTTCATAATTTTGGAATAATCATTCAGAACATCGGTACATCCAAAAATTGCTGCAGTTTTCGTTTTAACTTTTGTTACATGATTGAAAATTAATGAGCCAAAAGTAGTCATTTGCTTTTGATTCTGATGAAAATTTCTATTATCTTTCTTATACATAGATTCATATGAATATGTTTGACATTGATCCATAAGAATACTATCACCAAAATATATACTATTTGCTAATTTCAATAAAACTAATTTCATGGAGGCTTGAGAATCTTCTGTTGAACAATGACCACTTCTACCCTTTTGTATATTTTCATTCAAAAATTCTTGAACTAGAGTTTTTAATTTTGTCTTACGATACCTATCTCCAGTGATATTGAAAATTACTGATGTATCTATAATATATGGATGCATCATTTTCAGAGCATGCATATCAGAATTTAAACTTTGTCCAACAAGTATGGCATTAGCAGGTAAAAATTCCTTGATAAATTTTTGAACATCAGATAACTTTGTTGTTACATTTTCCAACATCATTTCTGTAATACCACTGTACTGAGTAAGGTAATCTGTAATTTTATTATCAGGTTTCACAAGAGTATCATAAACAATATCTAATTTTTCATCAACAATGGATACCCTAGTAAGCTCTAGACAACCTATTGTGGTTCTACACATCTCACAGTCTATACCAAACATTGGTGATTTTGAATTAACCTCATCATATTCATCTTTAGTTAATACATAGTCTACATATTTTTTAGCAAGACCTCCTTTTAATGGGATAGGATAATTCTCTTCTATAAGCTGATATGGTGAAAGAATCAATTCAGTTCTTGAAAATTGATCTGTAGATGGTAATCCAATATTGCTATTGTCACCTTTCTCTGATTTTGGAGCTAAAATTTCAAAAAAAAAACAAACACAAAAATAAAGTTTATCAAAAAGATTTTTCCATTTTTTAAAATTATAATGTTTATACCTGATTTCATAGGAAAAATTTTTTTCAGTAGCTTAATAATATCACCATTAACCTTTACTGCATTTTTTAAAGATCCATATTTATTAATAAGATTTTTCTTTTGACTTCCACTGAATGGTACAGCTGCAAGTTCTTCTACAATTGATCCACCATAAGCTGCTGGTGTAATTAGTTCTAAGCTGTGCTCTGATTTAGCTTTTAAATAACAGAATTTAGATTCATTCAACAAATAATGCCTAACCGATAATCCATCAACAATAAGTACTACAGCATGAGATACTTTATTGTATTTATCTAATTTACACCATCTATCTGGAACATAAGTTGCATGATGTCCAAGCATAGAGTACATAAGAAGGTGTTGCACGTCATTTAAAAAAATTGGTATTCGATCTTGACTGTCAACGTTAACTGTTAGGCTAGCATTTTCACCAGCTGATAGTAGTCGCAGTCGTGGAATAATTGAGAATCGTTTCTTCCTTTCACGAAGACTTTCTTTCAACTTGATAAATTCTTCTCCAGAAAGTCTAGATTTTTTGTTTTCTGTACTTCCTGGAAAGTCTACATTTTCTTTCAATATGATCAATTCTTCTTCAGAAAGCTTAGGTTTTTTACTTTCTGGAGGGTCAAGAGAATCTAGCATTTTAGTAAATTTATAACTTATAATTGGACAATAATAATAATATAAGACTTATTGCACTAAAAAAAAAATATGATTATAACAATGTTGATCCGTGATTCATACATAAATCTAATTAATAATGTGTTATACGGTGAAATCTGATTGTTTAAAAAAGGTTATTCTATGACTTAGCAAACACTGCCTATCATATGCCGTTGCCGTGGACCATAGATATAGTGGATATAGTTGAATAGTGGATAACTGACAACTGTTCTGTTCTGTTCTGTAGTATTCGTTGGCTCTGGACCTCTGATGTCGACTCGCAGTATAGCGAGCTGTGTCCCATACGGCCATCAACTGACTTGTTACGTTTGCGCGCGTGATTCAAATTGGCATTTTATTTGGGTAGAGCAAAGCGAAAGAAAAGAAAAGGCAAGTAAGTAAGTAAGTATTAAATGTGTTGAAGAAAGGCGAGAATAGATGAACTGACCATAGAAGTAGAAGTAAATGTTATTTAATAGAGAAAGTAAAGAAAAAGTTAAAGAAATATTTCTGAATTTTTAAGGAATTTACATAGAAGGTCAATGACATGCGGTTTAGGATCTGCAAGAAATTGGGAGATAGTGTAAGGGGGATAGATTTTCAATTTGTTAAGTTTGAGTAGTAATATTTTACGTTGTTCGACAAAGCGTTCACATGACCAAAAAACATGATTAAGGTCTTCTACATCTGATTCACAGGCACAAATGGGAGAATCTACCAAATGATTTCTGTGAAGGCTAAAAGCTAAATTATAATGATTTGTTCTCATACGAGTGATGGAAACTATCTGTGTTCTACAATGGCAATTATTAAAAAACCAAGGTTTTGAAGCTTTATTAAAGTAATTTTGGAAATATTGTAACCCTTTGTTAGTATCGGTGTTCAATAAATATTCAAAGAAGCGATCTTTACAGCCCTCATTGGTGAACTGTTGGAAGTCGGTGTATGGCAAGAGAAGGGATGGGGAAAAGCCTGTACCTATCGCTTTTTTAGCAGAGTCATTTACTATTTCATTACCAGAGATACCTTTGTGACTCGGGACCCAAGCAAGGATGACCTCTTGATTATTTTCTAGTAGTAATAAAAGTCGAAGTTTTATTCTAAAAATTGTGATGTGAGATGACTCGACCATGCATCCATTTTGTGAGATGGACGTAAGACAGCTTAACGAATCAGTAAAAATTATGGCTTTGTTTATTTTTTTTAAAATGATGAATTCCAGTGTCAGCTGGATTGCAAAAGCTTCGGCTGAGAATATAGAAGCATGAGAGTCTATCCTAAATTATAAATTAACATTAAGAGGTTCAGGACTATAAATTGCTAATCCGACATAAAGCCCAGGACCTGTTTTTGATCCATCAGTATAGAAGGGGGTATGAGAGTTTAGAAGGTCATGAAATTGTATATTAAATTCATTGTCGGGATTGTCAGCCTTAACAATAATAGAACCTTTATCAAAGATAATGTATGCTTGGATTGTTGAGCTTCAAGAGACAAAACGTAACAAGGAGGGATGGGGCTTGAATATAGCTTATTTCGGAATGGTTTTAGTTCTAAGTATGCAGTAAGAAGAGGAAAAGTGCGTAGATATTTAGGGGAGCTGTTGGTTGTACAATCAGCTAACTGACAAATAGTAGAAATAGAAGGATGGTTGGTGATTGAGAGCGAGCGGAGAATATAGTTGAAGGAAAGTTTATTTTGTCTCAGATGTACGGGATGAATTCGAGATTCAGCATAGATAATCCTGTTGGGGGTTGAATTTCTCATACCTAGCGCAAACCTAAGAGCACGTCTTTGAATAATGTTAATTTTTTTGAAAAAATTCGATGAGTTACGGGGAATGCAACAAAGACCAAAATCAATAGTAGCAAAAATAATTGCGTTGTAAATCAGTAGTAGCGATCTAGGATGGCCACCCCACCAAGTGGTGCGCAGCGATCTGATCATACTTATGCCTAAGGAGGTTTTTCCAATCAAATAATTTAGATGAGCAGTCCACGAAAGGCTTTTGTCTAACGTCATTCTGAGGAACTTAGCGTTGGATGAGACCGGTATTTTTGTTGAGTTTATTGTTAATGATTAGTCTGAGAGATCTTCGACTTTGTTGGTGTGAATGACTATTTTGGTTTTTTCAAGCAATAAGGATAGACCAATTTTTTTGAGAAATATATTGATTCTAGATAAATTACGTTCTAAGATCTTCAGGGCAATATTAGGGTCGGGGGCGGTTGTAATTATGTAATGCAATATCGTCAGCAAATTGAAGGCATTCACAGTTTGTAAGAATAAGAATAAGTTGGCTAACACTAATACTGTATAAAGTTGGACTGGAAACACTACCTTGCGGAACGCCTTTCCTTGTTAAGAAGGGACCAATAATCTTACCATTAATTTTAAAGTAGATGCGCCTTTCTGATATGAGGTTAAAATAAAATTTACATAATAACTTTGGAATGCCTATATAACTCAATAGATGAACTAGTGAGGTAGGATCGACGTCGTCGAAAGCGGATTTTATGTCTAGGTATGCTACAGCAGTGTAAAGGCCTTTTGCAAAGCCAGTATAGATTTTGGTGGTTAGGATAGATAAATTGTCTAATTAAGCAGGATCTTGATTTACGGAAATCAAATTGCGAGAGTGGAAGCTTGATATTATGTTCAAGCCACCACGATAAGCGGGTGAGAATCATTTTCTCAAAAAGTTTTAAAGGGGCCGAGGTGAGAGAAATTGGTCTGAACTTGTTATTAGCCGATTTGGGGATAAAAAAGATTAGGTATTCTTTCCACGCTTGAGGAAAGATGCCCGAAATAGTACATTACGACACTAGGCCAGAAAGTTGGATTTCCGGGGCGCGCGTAAGTGACGGGCGAGCCGAAGGCGAGCCCGTCATATTACGCACGCCTGGGCATCCAATTATCTGGCCGTGTGTCGTATACTATTTTTCCTTATCCCTGGCCGAAAGTGCCGTGTACACGGAGAGAGTAAAAATTATGGTGATCGTTCTGTAAAGTTGAAATACCTAAACTTTTAGAGGCTAACCGAGTGTGCGGGAATGACAGCTGCGCATGCGCGTCGCGCGTCTAATGCCGCTGCTCTATAGCGTACAGAAAAAACATTTGGAGAAAATCCGGGGAAACCCCAAGTCGTCATACTTTATGATTGAAAATTTTACTGGGCGTCACTGAAATTTTTACTAAGCTATCTTAGTCATTTCAACATGAAATTCTTTCCATGTAGCTGCGCGTGCTTTTTACTTTCCGCTTAAATCATGTTAAGCTGGTCTAGCTTGTAACGCATCGATTTGATGATTTGAATAACTCAAATCATATTCGCATGTGTACGTGGCAGTTCGTCACATGTGGGTCTGCCGCAATCCCAAAACTCGAGCATGCTATAAAACTCGAGCTACGGCAGCGCTCCTTCTTCTTTGCTCGGCCGCCACACACGAGGTAACAGCTCCGACCTGCGCGACGACACTTCTCGCTGGACGAAGATCACCTTGAGCACGCCTCGTACATCAAGCCTCTCACGCTAGTTGACATCGTCCACGAGATCTAATCAAGAACTGCGCCATTGCTGAGTATTCTCCATCGAACATCTCGCATCATCGTGCATTGGAGGTAACGACGCTTAGCCGGCCCGTACTATTTTCCTCGCAAGTATCGAGCCACGTGGCGGCTGCGGATTTCAATATATATATATCCGTGTGTGGTACAAGAAAGCCGAGCATTGCGAGCAATCATTCTTCAATTACGAATTAAAGTAAGGACACATTCGTTATAATCTCCGTAATTGGATTTAAATGTTGTTTGAACTTGAATATAACACAGATTTTATTTGTATGTAAATTGACGAAACCGCATATCTTGTTTCGAGTATTTGTTCTGGATTTTATTTATGATTAAATTATCAACTTGTTATTTATCGTCTAATTTAATGACACACGACTGAAAGTAGTATTGTCGAGTTAAGGATGAAGTATTTATTTTATTGTGGTTGCAACCAATAAATATGATGTGTACATAATAACGATTTTGTCCTTCTAGCGACCTTCCTCCTGTTATGCAATCCGGCTCAACATTCATAGTCTCGCTCCCAATTTCTAGTCCGGCAATTTCATTTGTTATATGACTTATTTCACATATAATCAACTATAAATAATAATTTTACAAGCTGCAGTACGGTTAGGTGTCTCCATGCCCGCCTGACTTTTGTAAAAACGAGGCGAAGCCGAGGTTTTACTGGTCAGGGCGGGCATGAAAAACGAAAGTATTTTATTCAATAAAGCTACAAGTATAGTACATTTTATTCAATTTTCTTTATTGATTTTGTTATCAAGTAAAGTAGCAAGTAAAGTAGGCGTACAGTAGCAAAAGCTTTGGTTTGACTGGCAAGAAAATCTTTCAGCCAACCCCCGCATTTTTACAGACGCCGTAAAAAGCGCTCTTTTCTTAGCCTTTCGGTCAAAAGATAAAAAAAAACTCTAATTTTGCCTATCAGGGGTCTACATTTTTTAAAAACGCCGCAAAGGACACTCTTTCCGAAGCCTTTCCGCGCCTGGATAGAAAAAAGCATTTCAGCCAATCAGCGCCGCGTTTCCCAAACAGCCAATCAGCGCCGCTTTTCCCAAACAGGCCGTAAAAGTCCCTCTTCCTGGAGCGAAATCAGACCGGGAAATAGGCACTTTCGGCCAAGAGATAAGGAAAAATAAATTTCATTGAAGGAATTTAACAACTCTTCAATTACGTTGTCAGGTATATTGGATAGTATACGATAATCTATCTTATCGAGGCCTGGGGCAGAGTTTAGCTTATATGAGCATGATTTTATTGCAGATTAGATCTCCAGAAGAGTAAATGGTTTATTAAAATGAGCATTAGTTGAATCATCATCAATAAAAAATTGAGGAAAGTCGTTAGGAGTACAAGAACTTGGACAGATTGAATATATCATGGCTTCTTGAGCTTGAATATTTTTGATATTGGTATGAGCTTGATTTGTTCCTAAAGAGCGATGTCGGAATTTTTTAATAGTTTGAAATATGGTTGCGATTGGGGTTGATGGGTTTATTGTTTCACAGAATTTTAAGAAGGACGAGGCTTTTGCCTGTTTGAAACCTGTTTAGCGTGTCTTTCTGCAGTTATAAGTTCGTTAATTAATCTCGGGTTA